TTTTATCCAAATTGAATCAGAAAACAAATTTGAAATTAAAAATATTGTTTGGAATGAAATTTTAGAGTAACAAAAAAACTATTCTATAGTTCATTACTATTTTTATACTTTCTTGCAAATTTTCTCTTTCATCAAAAAAGCAAATTTCAGTACTGGCCCAGTAAATAAGCCGGAAAATACTGTAAAATGTGGAAAACCTAGGAAACAGCACCGATTTTAAAATTTTTTGTTTCTACATGTTCCTTAGACCTTCAGGAACATTTATCGGCACCGACCCCGGTCCCGCGTGCAAAATCAAGGGAGGGGTGGATGTCGGAACCCCCCCAAACCACCCAAAATGTAAAAAAATTTATAAAAGCAATATTTTTCGTCAGAAATGCCTTTTAGTAAGTATTTTTGGTCACTGATCATGAATCTGAGGTCCAAATTTCAAAATAGAGCACTTGACAGCGGGATTTGAGCCATTTTTGGCTAAAAAAATCATTTTTTCGCTAAAATATGTCAAATCGATGTTTTGGTGCGAAAATGCCTTCTGGTAGGTATTTTTGATCGCTGATCACGAATCTGAGGTCCAAATTTACAAATAGAGCACTTTGCAGCGGGATGTGGGCCATTTTTGGCCTAAAAAGCCATTTTTTCCGCTAAAACATGTCAAATCGATGTTTTGGTGCGAAAATGCCTTCTAGTAGGTATTTTTGATCGATCATCACGAATCTGAGGTCTTCTTTTGAAAAATAACTTGTTGTGCACTATGTTAGAAATATTTAAATTATATTGTTTTGAAAGAATTAGCTCAACGAAATACGTATGTTTGTGTGATCTTGGTAACATCTATCAGATACTGCGTTTAAAAATTCCCTCTATTTTTACGTTTCTATTTTGACCTTCTATAAGAATGAACCCCATGGTGCCCCTCTTCTCTACTGCTTCAGATATTGCCTCGACACAGCTTTGTAACCGCTATACCTCTACAAGAACGCATGGCTCACCAATCTCACCATTAAGTTGATGTAGCTAAGCATTGTTCATTAATTTTTTAAAAAGATTTTTTTCGTATAATTATTGTTTCTATTAAAGTTATGATCATATGAATACATTACATGTTAGTGAAAAAGTCATCTGTTTAAAAAATCTCTACAACTAACCTGCACAGGTACATTAACATTTCTAATACTTCGTAATGTTTAAGTTTTCAATATTATGTTCAATTCTGTTCAATTGCATTATGTTCACGTAAAACAATAAGATTTTCTCTCAATAATTTACTGTTTGATTCTGATATTATTACATGCATGTATAGATACATACGTACACGCGCGCACACACACATATGTATATGTACATGTGCATATATATATATATACACACAGTTCTATAGTTCCAGTCCCCAACCAAGGCGCGCCCAAAGAAGTTCTCACTTTAAAAAGCTCCGACATTAGCTCATTACGACTACAAAAAAAATATTTTTTTTTTTTAAATAAATACCTATATGCGTAGTGTATTTATTTGATAGCTTTATTAAGTCCTTGAAGGCTTTTATAGCTATATAATATTACATTATTAAAGTACATTTGGTTGAGAACTGTGGGTTGGATCTTAAAACTAATTCTTAATCCTAAGTCGGTGTCGTAAATTAGATTCCGGAAAAGACCATCAGAAAAAATCCGAGTACCCCAACCGGGTATCGAAACCATGACCCTTTTGGGCTGTGTTGTATCAATGGCTAGCATGCTAACCAACTGAGCCAAGGACGAGCTCCTACAAAAAAAAATATCGTTCAAGCAGACGAATCCGGATTTCACCTGGGAGCGGCATTCATGCAAGAGGGAGAGGATAAAGTTGGCGAAATAATCGTTTACGCCTAAAAAACTCTGACACCTTGCGAGCAGAGATACTGTCAAATCAAAAAAGAGGCTCTTCTAGCATCAGTATTTGCACTAGAGCGTTTCAAATAGTACGTATGCGACATAAGCGTGACGCTTGAAACCGAGTCATTAGTAACTTACGAGCGACCACACTCATGTTAGACAGAGTCAAAAATGAACAAAACGAGGACTTCATTTGTTAAAAACTTAAAAAAATACTGCGTCTCCACGTGGCCAACAAAGAAGAACAAGACTCCCCATCAATGTTATTTCGTACTACGAACGCGAGGACAATTTTTCAGTTTGCAATGAACTTCTATAACACAATGTCAGATTAGTAATCCCACCACTCGTGAAATTAGAGGTTTTGACGAAAATCCATGTACACCGTTCCAAAATAAATGTATACTATTCTTTTTATTTAATATTTAAATTTTGTCATACATATTTATTTGCATACAACTAATGCACATAATTATTATTTTCTTTTAACGTTATCTAAGATATTTTTTTAATGATCTTCAGCTGTAATACGTGGTTGTTTGCTTTAAATAAAAAGAGGAAGATATCGTGTGATCACAACTCTACAGGGGGTCAAGGGGTAGTGTGGCAGATGGGCTGCCATTTTTAAACCTCTACACAGAAATCATATACAGGGTGACCCAATTTAATCCATGGATCCAAATATCTCTTTACGTTGAAATACCAAAAAAAAATAAGTGTAAAAATTGTTTGATACTTAGGGGGTCATTACATGCTACTATTAGTTTTGACCTTGAAACTTTTTTTCTAGGTTATTTAGAGGTTAAGTCAACTTTTTGAATGAGGACCCCTATTTTTTATTGCATAATCGTATTCTACGTTTAAAACTACTAATGACAAGGTAGTTACAAAATTTTTTAACTAATGAGACCCTTATAAGGAACAAACATTAACCCATTTTTACCGAAACATCATAATTAAACGCCTTAAAATTCGCTAACCCTTTTTCTAAAACTTAAGTCTTTAAATTTATAATCCTATGTTCTTTAAACAATTTTTACCAATTAGGCCCTTATCAGAGATCGGCATTAAAACTTTTTTAGGCTTTAATCATGCAATAATCAACATTTAAGTAGTGATCACTTTTCCTTTTGTCACTCATACTTATGAAAATCATAGACATGAGATTCCGAGCTCGTGTTTGATTGATTAGGTTTGTGGGCTATTTTGTCCTGAATATGGCAGAGCTATTCAGGAGAAGCTCCCGCATATGCCACACTGTCGCTTGACCCTCTGTTTTTTTTTTTTTTTTTTTTTTTTTTTTCTATTTTTTATATATTATAGTACTTTACGTCTGGCTCTCTTATAGAGGCACTACTTAGGGCACTCAGCACTTGTGATTAGGAAGGAATTGGGATGGAAATGGAAGGGGGGAGGGCCCTAACAACTGCTCCACATTCGCCCATGACGATTGTCACGTGGATCAGGAAAACCCCTCCCGTTTACGATGTCGATGAGACAGAGAAACAGTCAATCGATCTACAAAGCGAACAGCAAAGGCGAGACTAGAACGGTCACCCATCTAAGTACTAACCGTGCCAAACACTGCCTAACCTCTATGATCGACGATACTACTACTCTACCGCTGAGCAATCATGTCGGTATTTGACCCTCTGTACTGGATTTTGTGAGGTAGCGCTACCGTGCGGCAATAGTCACCATACGAGCTTAGAGCTCACACTGAATTAAATGGTAGAGCGCTTGCCTTCCGTCTGGAGGGCTCGCGTTTAAGACCACGCTCCGTCACTTTTTTGCGAATACCTCTGTGGTTTTTTCCATAAGTCTCAAACGCTGTTGACCTCCTCGTCAGTACGGTTTAATACTATCGTGCCATCTGAGAGTAAGGGAAACGATGCCTGGCTCTGTGGTGTAATACATACCGTACCATCAGAGTAGTTAGAATCAACGGTGCCTCTAATTATTAGTTCTCGAGTATACAGATTTAAAAACACCTAATAAATAGATTTAATATGGCGTACCGATGTCACAGTAAGTGACACAAGGCCGACCATAAAGATAAAGACATACGAGCTCAGCAGAGTCAGTCAAGTCTGGCCAAGTTCGCTCCGTTCTACGGTGCGCAGACTTACGTTCACTCAGGTCTTCCGCCAAGTACGCTTTCATACGAGCATGCCTTATTTCCCCCATCCCAGTTAACACAACAAACAGTTTCTAAAAATTTCATTAAAATCTGTTCACAAACGTTTCAAGCTCGAATCTTCTCAACGTAGTACACACTGCCCTAGTAGCACATTGTAAGTTTAAGTTTTGGGAAGCAGACCCATGCACTTTTTACGCAATTTTTACGCACTTGCGTAACAAGTGCATGGGTCTGCTTCCCAAAACTTACAATGTGCTACTAGGGTGCCCAATGTCGAATGATATGTATCATTGATTATTGTTCTATTATAGCAGTTTAAAAAAATTATCATCTCACCAGAGGGGGACCATGATTATTTGAACTGCCTATACTTCCAAATTCTTCGATGCTCACGCTATGCAAATGCCGAAGGGGACATTTTTTTCTTACTTCATCAGATACTGGTATCAGAGCTGAAAGTAAAATATTTAATGCTGTTTCAAAACGTTTCATCAAAATTTGAAGTTAAAAACAGTTTATAATACTTACCAGCAAGATATGCCACATTCTGGGGTGTAACTTTAAACTGGTCCCTCTTGTTACTAGATTTAGCAACGATGTGTAATAGCATGTTAAGAACGCGCGCATTACGCGTGACTGTTGTTGGGTTCGGATGCCAGTAACCCTTGAGCAAATAGCCGACCAATGCGAAATGAAAATTCGATCTGAAGGAAAGGCCAAGCTTGGTATCAAGCCAGTTAAACTGGTTTTCAAGAGGCTCGCGTATCTCCATAATAACTTGTTCAAGGCTTAGATCCTTATGAAACTGATCGAATGAGTCCAATATTTGCAGATTTTGCTCAAGTAGTGCTAAACCTGAGGAGTAAAGTGATGCATTTTCCATTTGGAGCATAGACAGGGCAACCCAGAATAAGTATCGGTGCATGGATGATTTCTAAAACATTATAAAATGCTTTGGTATGAGTATCGAGCTCATTTTTAGTGAGACATAGGTAAAATATAATATCTCATAATTTAAAATTTCAAAATCCACCTTGTCCAGTATAGGCTCAAGTCTAGTGAAACAAATGACGATAGCCTCAAGCAACATGATATCAAAACGGTCAAGAGCATTAACAAACTCATTTAGTAGCAGCCTGACATCTTCGTCCTTTGCAATCTTACTAATGCAACCAAATACGATAAGTGCACGCGGTTTGAGCGCCCGATTGTGCGAAAAGGCAAAGTTCTTAGCAAGATCGGTCCATTCGTCTAGCCACCTCAAGCTTTGCATGTCGCGAATGCACGCCTCCGTGACTTCGAGCATGGTATCAGTGACTATTTCGAGATTTGTCAGCAAAAACTTATCATAGTCTTGACTAATTTCGATCCGTTCGCTATTGAACCAAGACTCTTGCACATTATGGTGGTTGGATCTGTAACGACGTCCGATAAGTAAATAGATATGACGCATGGGTAAAAAAACATAGCCGCAAACCTGAAAGCGTTTACTGTCGCAGACTTGACATTACTAATTCCAAATAGCTTAAGAAACTTGGGCAGCGAAAACCCGTCTAAGCTCATCTTGAGCACCTTATATGTTTCCTCGGAGAAGGACGGCAAAGAGCAGGTGCAAAGCGAGTGAATAACGTTAATGACGAGACCGTAGACCGAAGCTCGCATGGTCAGGCTTCCGGAGCAGACCAGCAGAGTGACTATGTGAAAGAGTTTAGGCAGATGCTTGCCGACATCAAGGCAGTTATTGAACGATAGCATGACGAGGTGGCGTACATGAATAGCGATTTCTGGCCACTTAGCATTTTGCTCAAGCTGCGTCGTTGGGGTCGTCGCGGTGCTTTTGATGACTTTCTCGAGAAGTTTTATCGCTCGGTCAGACACGTGCTCGACGTTGCTTGATGCTAAGGCTACTGTTGTGTTAGCCATCACCTCAACCATAGGCGAGTTGATGCCGTAACGCAAACTTCTTTGGATCAAGTTCTTGAGCACTGGATCGATCAGCTCCGTGAGCTTGCCTACAAAGGTGCAAGTTCAGGTACATATATGTACATGTATATTAGTTAACTGTTACGTCTACTATGAAATTTTTTAGAATTGAATGATATAAAGTATTTATTTAATTTTTTTAAACCAACCAATAGTGCTCCAGATCTTTGTCTCTATGCTGGGTAATATGTCGACCTCTTCAATGGTCAAAGTGATGAGCTTCTCTAGTATCAAATTAACTTGCTTTTGACGTCCTCCCGACTCTTCACTGGGCTTGTACAAACGAGCGAGGTTATTTAACCAGGGTGTCATGTACTCAAGGCAGAGGTGTTTCAGTTCAGTACAGGAGACACGGAAGCCCTGGATGCACTCCTCCAGGAACTGGAGGGTGAGGTGCGAGTCTTTGGCAGCGAGAATCTCGCTCACTCGTTTGATAAAGACTGTATTGTTTGAGGGTATACAAAGACCCGATGTGATATGCAGCTGCTGATTTATTTTTAGATTGAAAGTGGTAGTAAGAGCACATAATAGGTTGTAAGCCGCTGAGCGAACGATCGGGTTCGAGCTGCCCAGATTTAAAAGGGCCATGTTAAGCAGGGTGCCTGGTACGTCTTTTGGTCGGATTTTCGGGTGCACTCGCACTGCTTCGGGCTGCGAAAGCTCCCACCTCCGAATATAAGATAATGAACAGGGTAAAGTTACGATATATAATCTAATAAATGTATATTATTACCTGTTACGGATGTGCATAACCGCCTGAATAATGGATTCACATTCATTGTGTATAAAATTTAGCGACTCGTCGCTCTTTGTAAGCGTAAACTGATTGTCATCAACGACCATGACTCTATCGATTTCAGAGACGTAATACACGTCATTGACGTACACCAATTGGCCCAAGATCTTCGTCTTCTCGGTGACTTGTACGGTACTAGGTCCAACCTTGATCGTCACCTTTGTATCTCGATTCGCGAGTTTCAAAGCATTCGTGAAAATCGTGAGATCATTGTTGAGAGTTACAGTAGCACCAGGCAGTCGTTGCTGATCTTTTTCAATAAACTCCTCGAATTTTTTGGTATCGTTAACAAAGTGCACTTTGTCTCCGAGATTCTTGCCGAGACCATGAAACTTTATAAAGTCACGAGCAAAGCTGTTACAGTTGTAGAAGTACACACCCACGAGGTTGCGTTTGAGACCTACGTCTATTTTCAGCCACTTTTCCATGTATTCGAAACGAAAGCGGTTCTGAGGGCTGACGTGAGTGAGATCCACTACTAGCTCAAATGGCAAGTCCCAACATGACTGTAGGGTTATCATCACATGCAAGTAGAGTAGATTGATGTTCATATCAACGGCTCTGAAGTGAGTGAAAAATTAACATAGTGTATTAAATTTTTTATTTATTGTTCTTATATTTGGCATGCCAGCGACTCACTTATATCTCCGGGCAATATAGTAAAAAACTGGGTACTTTTTTTTGCTGATTCCACTTTCGTAAAAAATATTTATTTGCTTAAGGCTTTTATATTGCTCCATTTCGCGTGGGTCAAGTTTTTTTACAGCTTCTTCAATGTTTTTAAAAAATTTTTCACTTTTAATCCATGCCGTGTTGTTTGGAAAAAGTAAACTGGAAACATACAGTGAGATTGGATAATGTTTTGTATTGCTTTAAAAATTATTGGTATGCCATTGAGTGCAAAAATACATTTTGGCATTATACGTTTCTAATAATAAATTTCGAGTTTTATAACAAATTTTAATTTTGTAATGCTCTGTCGTAATAATGATTTTCCTCTATTTTCATTATTCTTGGTTGTTTACTATGTCTTAATATAAAATTTATGAGCTCAATCCATCAAGTACTATGAAAAGCCTTTTAAATAAGAATATTGCTACAATAAAAGTATCAAAAGCTTTTTAGGATTAGGGTGAGATTACATGGAGTCTGGCAGTCTGAAGAATGGCAGACTCCATGTAATCTCACCCTTAATCTTGTAACAATCGTAAATTCGTGAATAAGAAACTTATTTTAAAAATTTTTTTAAGTACAACGTACGGTTCGTATATTAATGTGAATTAAGATGATCACAGTAGGAAAATTTTAATTTAAGGAAAATGAAGGAAATTTAAAATAATTTTGAAGGTGTTTCTTTATTTTACTGTCCAATATCTTTCATTATTTTTTACCGTCTAATAAAAATATTTTCATTTTTACTCTTAACTAAACTGGAACACTGTGATTTTTCCCGTTCAAACTAGATTTTTGCCACAAGATCTTCACCCAAAATTGTACATGATGAAGATTATTATAGACATATGCAATTTTAAATTTATTGACAAGTATACTTAAGAACAAACGTTAATTCGCAATAGATTTCAGAATTCATGTATAAAATGTATCAATATATATTATGTTGAACGTATTTAGATGGGTCGTACTTATATGGGTCACGTTACGAAAACTGCGATATTCTATAAAGACTATGTTTAAAAACAACGGATTATATTATTTCAAGTCGAAACTTTTTTAGGACGGCTTCTGATACCTACACATTGATTTTAAAAATTTTTTTTACCATGTGCTATCTAAAAATTTGAGGTGTTTAGCACCTTTTTTGATAGTTTAAAACAACAAAAAATTTTCTTTTCAAGTGTGAGATGTTTTATATATGAAGCCTAGTTTTCACACTTTTGGATGGCGCGCGACAAATGATTTAATTTGGCCAAGTGATTAATTTTCAGGGACTAGGAATTAATCGTTTTTATTTGTATTCCGGAGACTACTTACGACAATAATGTTACTATTTTCTATACTCAAATTTTAATGTGGCTATTTGTAGTGTGGTCACAAATACAGAGCGTGTTTTCCGGTACATTAAGCGGCCTTTACCGTAAAGCCACGGTTACATGTAGGGCGGAAATAGCCAGCGGAAAGAGAAAAGAGTTCCCCCCACCCCCATTTTAGTAAGTGACGCGTTCCACACTCGCTGGGGAAAAATGTCCATCGTGCACATCGAGCGGAATAGAAAAAGCGCGTCCGGGTGAGATTACCACAACAGCAGCCAAAAAAGGTATAGCTTTTTAGCGGAAAACATTCGATGTTATACATTTGATGTAATTCATCATTACTTTCAAAAACTTTTTTAAATAATTATAGAAACTCTTCTGCTAAAGGTACAACAGAATTCAGATCATAAAAAACAATTCCTTTAGTAATCAATGCAAAAAAGAGCTTAATAAGCGTTACCAGCTCGAGTCTCACTAAAAAATTTAGATATTGACGACGCCTTAAAGGAAAATACAGATTTTCAAATTTTTCTACTACAAATAATCCTAATAATCCTTATTAACGCTAACAACATTTTCATGCATTAAAGAAAACTAAAAAAAATTGTATCCGAGACTTAGATGCTGTTTGAGTTGCGGGATTCAAATCTAAAAAATTTAACATTTCTACGGAAAATGCTATTGCAAATGCACGAAATTAAAGTTTTTTAGTTAGGACGTTTTGTATTCTATTGAGGTTGAGAATGTTGCATAAATTTTTTCTCATTTTCATAATATAACGATAAGCCAGTGCTACAGGCACGTGAATTTATAAATTATTGACTACGAGCACATTTCAGGTAGCGCCACCAATGTCAGAGTTCAGTACCATATTTTCAGCATAAAAGCATTGGATCGTGTGGGTACGGTACGGTTCTATTTTAATTAACTACAATTCTATCTTCATGAGGTACTTTAAGGAACTGGTACTTACTACAAGATATTGGAGTAGTTTATGGAAAAAAAAAATCAGCAGAATAACAAGAAAAAAAGGGTCACGCGGCTCTTCAGATGGCACATCTGATAAGCTAACTCACCTTGCTTGGATAGTATGGAATTAATTTCAACTATGTAACGAAAAGAGAGTAGTAATCATTCTAAAGTAATTTGAATTCGATATAGTATACCAATATCATGTAAGAAGTACTAATCCTATAAATTATCACATGAAAATAGAATTGCAGTTAAAATGGAATCGTTCCCATGAGATTCAATGCTTTCATGCTGGAAAATTTGGTACTGAACTCCAACATTGGCGGCGCCACCTGAGAGGTGCTCGCAGTCAATATCTCTTCAAAATAAAAGCAAAGAGCCCGTAATGCTAAAGAATGTCATGTTACCTCGCGAAGCATTTGGTTACCAACTCGGATGGTGATGGGTTAAAATTTAGCTATTTTTTACATGGTATACGTATAAGGACGAGGTTTCATTTGGTGCGGTCACAATTTGGAGTTTTCAACGATTTCGTAAGAGCCCGCAAAGCTGTGTATCTTCGATTAATATTGAATTATCGACTCACAAAGTAACTTGTACAAATTTTGGTGGTAAGTACATGGTATTCATGTAATACTGAAGTCAAATTTTCATTAAGAGAGCCTTTATCTTGGTTTTCAATAAGATTTCATGAGAGACTGTAATGCTTCAATTTTTTTTAATAAAAGAAGAAAGTCATGGTAAAAGTTTTTGTCACGCAGATCTAGCAGTTTTCAAAAATAAAAAATCCGTTATAAGCGTTTTTCTATTCCAGCCCTTTAAATATGCCAGTTTTCGTAGAATGATCAATATATATTACAGTGCTTTACGTCCGGCTCTCTCGTAGAGGTACTTTATTAGCACTTGGGATTGGGAAAGAATTGGGGTGGGATTGGACGGGGGGAGGGTCCTAACAACTGCTCCACATTCGCCCATGACAATCGTTGTGTGGATTAGGAAAACCCCGGGAAATCTCCCGAAGGAAAAACCTGATCCGGAACAGCCCGGTGTATTTGCCTCATTTCTGACCTGGCGTCACCTGCAGGGCTGCCGTCTTCGACAACGGGGCAGAAATTGGGCACACCTCCCGCTTACGATGTCAAAGGGACAGAAAAACAGTCAATCAACCCACGAAGCGAACAGCAGAGGCGAAACGGCGAGACTTGAACGGTCACCCATCCAAGTACTAACCGCGCCAAATACTGCCTAACCTCTATGATTGATGGTACTGCAACTCTATCGCTGAGCCATAGTGAGCCATCGTGTCGTTTATATATACATACATACAATAAGTATATATATATATGTATATATATATATAGTCATTGGTTATAAGCAATTTTGAGATTCAAAGAAAGTGACGCTACTTATTTTAACTAGATAACTTAAAATAAATATTTAAAAAAAATACTCGAGTTATAAAAATAGAAAAGACTAATAATAATCTCGTTGGACAAAATAAATAATTATCAGACAAAAAACAATAAGGCACATAAGTTTTGGTTCAAAGAACCTTTGTCACATTCGCACTTTCCTTACTCTAAATCAGCCGATTTAGGCTGTGGTTCGCCAAGATGCGCTAGTAGAATGGCAAGTTTGTCAAAAGGCCTCCTGCCAACATCCTTGCCGTAATTGCGACTACTACTTAAATAATTATTAATGCCCTCCTGGTGTGTGTACAGTAGTCTGTGGAGAGCTGCGTGGTTAGGCTCAGTGACGTATGTTTCGGACTCGTCTGCCTGCGTGTTGGTCTCGACGTCCTTGGATATTTGTATAAAAAAGTAGTGGGCTTTGTCCTGGTGCTTTCGGAGCATATTATTGAAGTACACCATGTGTTGTTCTTTGTTAAAGTCGATACGGTTCGCAATGTTCTGTAGGATTTTTGACATGAACATGAGGCCACGCTGTACGTTGTGCGGCAACTCATCCACTTTGACAATGCCAAATTTCTGGGGCGAGACAATTGCCGGGTTTATGAACCGCAAAAACAGTATTGTACCAACGGTACCTGTATTCTGAGGTGCAGAAGGATAGTTCTTACACAACACTTGATACAAGCAGTGACACATCATTCGAAGATTTGGTGGAAAGCTGTATACAAAAGATAATCAGTGTAAGTGTTATAAAAAAAATATTCAAGAATTATATACATCAACAAATTCAAAGCTATTTGACAGGAACGTATTTGTGGTAAGGACATTTAAATTATTTCAGTTTAACGTTAAGTAATTAAACAATTACTTTTAATGTAAACATACATCAAAAAGCACAGCAGGCCAAAACATACCACCTTTAATGAAAAAGAAAACCTTGTTTGAGTTTAAAATTATATGGTTAAAAAGCCGTAAAGCCCAGCTACAAATTTGCACGTTTTTACTAATCATAGCGATAAATCTGAAGATGTAGTTAGCTATCTACAAAAGTGAACCTGTCTACAGAGCTGACGATCTTGTCAAAGACCTCATTTGTAAGCTTGATGAGATTGCTGCGATTGCGCTCGATATCAGAACCGGACTCAAGCTTGGCCGGATCGACCTCGTAGCTCGTTAACTTGTCCTCGAGCATTGGCGCTATTAAAGGATTAAGGAGCTTTTGCAGATACTCTGCACCAAACAACTGGCAACAAAGGGACATGATTTTGGTGCCAAGACTGTTGCCACGAAAGAGCGTCTGTACATTCTCACAGCTGGAGACCTCGCGGTGGAAGATATTCCAGAGCAGCGAGGAAAGAAGGTGCTTTGACTCAAAGACATTAACGAGAACGCGGGCGAGCTCGTCCATCTCGTCGGCCCGGACGACGGTGGCTAGTGACATGGCGATCGGCAACTCTCCCTTGTCACTGATCATCGTCACCAACTGAACAATCTGCTTGTGCAGCTCTGCTCGTGACGTCTCGGCCAACATGTCAAACTCAGTGCCCTGCTGCAAGATCTTAGTCAACACCTCCAGGAAGGCCGCACGCGTCTCCAACTCACGAGCGTAGCCAAAATCTGAGGAATCATGAAAGAAAAAAGGTACACAATAAAGTTAATGCATGTATTTACGAATCAATTAACTGTCATAGTAATAGCAATACAGAAATGATATAAGTAAAAAGTGATAAATTTTAAAGTTTACACAAAAACAATCGTTAATAAGACATCGAAGTACTCATATCCACAATTCAACATAAACATATTTCTACTGGGTGTTGCTGCTAGTTGGCAGCGTATGATGCTCTAAAAGCCAACTGTTAACTTACGCAGATGCTTAACTAGTTAAATAAATCTAAGTGAAAACATCACTAAGACGGTTAAACTTTGATAAACTCATAAACTTAACTTCCGACGCACGAAACGTGCCATGAAACAATGCATTCCGAAAAGAGATAGTAAAATTGTAATACTTAATAAATGATACATTGGTAGTTAATTAGATTAATAGATTGATTAAAAATAGAATAAATAATTAAAATTCTCATTTTTGACAGCTCACAGCTAACTAACCTCAACACAACATCTAAACTGGATGAATCAGACAGAATCTTGACCTTTCGATGTTTCGACCATAGAAATATGAGAAAAATAGACTGCTCGTTCTTGAGGCCGCTAAAGCACAAGTAGAAGGAGACACAACATCGAACGTGAATATCTGTCTCTCTTGCACATTCTCACCTTTGGCAGTGTGCAAGAGAGACAGATTCCCACCGTTGGCAATATGCGAGAGACATGTTTCCACGTTCGATGTTGTGTCTCCTTCTACTTGTGCTTCAGCGCCGTACATAAGAACGAGCAGTCTATTTTTCTTTTATGTCTATAGTTTCGATAGTCAGATACGGCCGCGGTGTAAGATATAGAATAGGTAGACCAATCATGTGTAGAGTTGTAGAGTATAGGCATAAGTGGTCGCAGTGGCGCAACGGTAGAGTTGCAGTCCCGACGATCTCCGAGGTTAAGACTATTTGTAACCCCCAATCGGATTCTCAACTGTAACGCCATCTCTGCAAGTATCAGATGTTAAATATGTAATCTATCAGCACGTTTACAATATCATACAATATGTGTATGTACCATAGACTTATACAAATAAGGCCTACGCAGTCAAATTGACATAAGGTGCACAGTGCACAGTGCACAAGAATAACATTGGTTGGTACACCTATATGTATAATGCACAGCGCGTTATGCTTTACGTTTTTACATATATAGATATACCAACGAATGTTATTCTTGTGCACTGTGCACTGTGCACCCTATGTCAATTTGACTGCGTAGGCCACTCCCACTCCCCCAGCCCAAGAAAGTATTAAAAAGAAAAAAAAAAAAATTCAGTTAGAAAGAACAAAAAATGCACCCTCTGATTACACAGTTTGTTTAAATTGAACCCTCATAAATTTTGTAGAAAAAAATTATTACCAGTTACCAAGTTGTCTTGTTTTAAACCTCCGATATCTTTGGAAAACACTTCTTTTTCGATACAACGTTGGCTTATAAAAAATGAACCTTTTCTGATTTGAATTGAGCTTATCTTACATTTGCAAATATTAGCTTAGTTTTTTTATTAACAATTAATACATAATACTGGTCTAAAAGCTAACCTCATCTCTATCATGT